TTAGAATAGTATGGAGTCCCCCACAACAGGAGTGTCGAGTCACGTGCAATGGGAGTGTGTCAGCCTTACAACGACCCCCACTTTTCAGCCCCGGGGAGCTGACAACCCCAACACTGGAAAGTGCATTTGGGGACTTTTTTTTAGGGTTTTTTTTTTTTTTTTTGCCCTGTTTTATTTTTGGTCAAGGTCTGCATGTGCCAAGTTTGGTGTTTGTTGGGGTCTCGGATATGACTGTTTTGGCCAGCCCCGAGAATCCTGAAAATCCTGAAAATCCTGGAAAACTGCAAAGAGCTAATTTTGCATGAAAATACACTTTTGCCTTGGGGTTTTAGGCCCATGTGATCCATTTTTTTACCTTTTTTCTTTTGCTGTTGGTTTATTTGGTGTCCACTCTATGGACAAGGGACAAGTCTGGCTTAAAAGGTGTGAGACGTTTGTTAGAATGACCCTGAAAAAAAACCTCCTGAATCTAACATGCAGTTTGGCCACCCTACTCACCTGGAACAGAATAGCACGCAGTGTGCCTAACAATGTGTCCCAGCCACTGGCTGCTCTTGGACCTGCGCCCCCCCTCGTAATCAGCCACTCAAATGTGCAGCTGCCTGCAACAAAGTCCCTCAGAGATTGACCTCGGCTGCAATCCGGGAGGCACTGCATTCATGCACATGGCAACGAACTTGCATTCAGGAGAAGCTACAGAACAAATATATGGATCTTTTTTCAGTGCTGGACACAATCCACAAATAATATGAATCTTTTTCCAGTGGTGACACAGTAACAAACAACCATTCTAACGACTATTAAGCCAGGACAAACAGGCAGCAGAGTCAACAGCAAGTGCCAGCAAAGCTCCGCCTCCTTAGAAAGGTCCGAGTCATCGAGGATGAAGACTACAGGATCTACAACCCCGTCACGCCGATCCAAGAGCGTCAGTTCGACCTGGTAGAGTGGGCATGGAAACTTGCTACCACCACTGGAGTGGACTGCCAGACCAATGTGCTGGACTATACAACGTGACTGGGCTACAGATTAAGGCATTGAGTGGTCAGCACTCATGAGACACTCGCACGGAGGTCGGAGGAACACGAGCCAGCGGACCTGGGGGGGCGGACAACAATCCCCTGGAAGGCGCTGCTGGCCATCCACACTTCTCAGATCAGAAGCATGCAGTGGCTCATCCTCTACCACGCACTCCCGGTCGACAAGTGGCTCAGCAAACGATGCTCGCAAGCCACCAGACATGCCTCGGATGAAAACTGTACGGTCTGCGCCCAGGGAGTTGTTGTCCACGGCTTCTCTCCTGCTGAGAGTGGAGGAGCTCTGGGGAAGAGCCAGAGGCTTCTGGGATGCCAAGGTGGGCATGCCCCTTCCAGGAAGTGCGGTGGCTCTGCTCACAGGATTTTCGGAACCTGCAAGCCAGTGAAAATGGGAACACAGATTCTACAGAAGGCTACGGCCGCAGGTACTCTGGAGAGTCTGGAAAAGGAGGTGCAAAGAGGCCATCCATGTGCAAGCCATATCAACTGAGGAAGCGTGGGAAGGTCCTTCAGACACTGCAGACTGAATACTGCCCTGATTGGTACAGGACCAGACAACAGATGGCAGTGGCAAGGGCCACACAGCGGTATCGAGGTATGTGAAGTCCAGCGTCGGGCACGTGGGCTCGTCAGCCAGCACCCCGGGGTCTCCCGAGTTGCCCAGTTGCCACATGGCTGCATAGGCCCCTCAAAGGACCTATCAAGTGGGACCAGAGGCCTGCAGGTCCAAGAGGAAGTGTCACAGGCTAACTTAGGCAAGGATGAGGGATGGTACATCCTTCCCAAGGGAAGTAATCAATAGCGCCTGCTAGGATCTCCCAGCCATAATGGGGAGAAGCGTGGGGGTGTGTGTTCAATGTACTCTATTTGATGGATAAGGAGCCAGGACCATAAGGCCCTGTTTTGCCAAAACAAAAAACAAAAAAGAAAAAAAAAACAAAAAAAAAAAAAAAAACAGAAACAGAAAAAAAAAAAAAAAAAAAAAAACAAAAAAAAAAAAAAAAAAAAAAAAAAAAAAAAACAAAAACGAAAAAGAAAAAAAAAAAAAAAAAAAAAAAAAAGGGAGGCTAGAATTTAATTTCGTCCACAGGCAAAGTAACTAGACCAGAGAGGGTTTGGGGTTTATCAAACCTAAAGAGGAGGATCAAGTTGTCAGCCGAAAACTACAGGAGGGAAGCTTGTGGTGAAGGCCACCTCATATCTGTCAGCACAGCAGAGGCTTTCCTGTGGAACTAATTCAGCAATCTCAGTATCATCAAATCGAACTGCAGACATTGCATCCATCCACGTGGCAACCAACTTGGATTCACGAGAAGCTACGGACAAATATGAAGCTCTTTTCAGTGGCGACAACAAGCCACAGAAAAACATGCAACTCTTTTCAGCCGTGACACAGTCTAACGAACGACCATTCTAACGACTACTAACAAGAGGTCGTGAACGATAATTTTTCCTGCGACCATCTTGCTTGGCTTCCTCCCCACGAGCTTTCCATTCAGTAGACCTGTTCCAGGCCACCAGCAGCAGGGAAGGAGTGGAACTAGTACTGGTCCCAACATCAGGTCTATAATTCCATAGAAAGTTTTACGCAGTACCAGGACAAGGTAGCCGACCTCGTGGTGGTACTAGCATGAGCTCCATTCCTACGAACGGGCCTAGCTCAGTTGGTACACCTATGAGCTACTGAAACACAGACATGAGTTCGAATCCAGATGGAACTAGTTGAATGACTTCCCAAGTTACATGGGGCCGGTCAGCCCCACGATGATACCCCAAGGCCGTCAACCTTCGAGGAGGAGAAAAAAAAAAAAAAAAAAAAAAAAAGGCAGCAGCTCCATTCGGTACAGGACGGACTCAGGGAACCGAAAACGGGCTTGTTACTGGCGCCGGCAGCATTCCACAGAACCAATTTTCGTGGTACTGGAACGAGGGAGTGGAAGTGTTACCGGTGCCTGCTGCATTTCACCCAACGATTCTTATTTTTATTTTTACTTTTTGCAAAAGCAACAACTTCAGTTACACACCCAAAGAATACTGACTTCTTTTCCATTGGGCAGTAGGGTGAGTGACACTGAGTGTCTCCCAGAGCTGGTTGAAGCATTCCTCAGTGTTCTGAACGTCTTCTCCTAGAAACGTTTTCCACCTGTTGGCTGCTGTGGCTGCCGAGGAGGCTTTCTTGTGTGCACCTGCCGGCTCATACCCTGTCCTCACCGTGTATATCCCACAAATGGCTGGTTCGCTCTTCCTCTTTTCCAGCACCAGGTCGTAGGGTCTATCTTCAGTTCCCTCAGTGGGACTCTTCCTATCCCTTACCGAGGAATGGAAGTGCAACCTGAGGTGTGGAAGGTGCAACTGGCCGTTTGAATCGACCAGGCACCTCTGGTGGGAACATCCTGCGTCCAAGAGAATCTGGAAGTGGTGGACACAACACTGGGAGATGATGGGTGGAACAGAAGTAGACTGGGAAGAGCACTGGGTTCTGTTGGGCTTCCTCCCACTGGGGGACAAGGCTGAAGGAGGATGGAAATATGTTGCGCATGTGGTCAGGGGGAATTCTGTGTGAGATGATCTGCGCGGATCGAAACAGGGCCAGATTTCAAGATAGACCGTTCTCAGACATCGAGATTACAAGCAGAATAGAACAGGGTCTAAAGTTGGCAATCAAAGGCTGACTGGCGGAGAAAGATGCGGATGGGACGTGGCAGCAGGAGACAGTTGAAGTGGTTCTTCTCGAAGACCAAGACGTGGGCCCGGAAAAAACGACTGGCAACCGTCACACCGGGAGGGAAGTTGGTAATTACGAAATGGCTCCTGGGTAGCTAAATCCGGAACTGGGAGACTGAACTTGTCACCAAATCCGGAAATGGGAGACTGCACTTATCACTAAATCCGGAACTAACTGGGAGACTGAACTTATCTTATCTTAGAAGTAGAGTACGCATGAGAGGTTGGAGTTGAACTTATCCTATTTACTAAGGCACTCGGTTCTGTAGGGCCACAGTGGGCCGTATAGGAGGAGAGTGTCAAGATAGGAGGACAGTGTCCACTGGGCCGAGTTAGTCCCAGGGGCCAACTTAGGCCCGGTAGCTATTAGCAGTAGAAAGTATTAGGGGCAGTACATGAAGGAGGATATTTTCTGGTAGTTGGCTGCAGTGTAAAAAGAGAGTGGCTTTGCAAAACACAGCAAATTTTTCAATTTGTTTTCTAGTAGAGAATGGGCATTACTAATTAGTGGAACTCATAAGCGAAACTGGCTAATGCTGCCAGGATAACTCCGGGTTGAATTGTGAGGGCCCCGGCCTCTATTCATTTGTTTTCCAATATATATATGAACTGCGTTAAAAAAAAAAAAAAAAAAAAAAAAAAAAAAAAAAAAAAAGAAATACACACCCAAAAGAATTCTGCGTTCCCGGGGGCTGATTTCCCCCATCACAGGGAAGTAAAAGGATACGGATGATGGAAATAATCAATCTCACGTGTAGCTAGAGTATTGATTTCCTGACCTTGCACAGTGCTCAGCAGATGGAGCAAAGTAAATAAGAGCGAGCGGTGACCGGCGCTTGGACATGAGCCAGTCGGTTAACAAGAGATGCAAATTTGCAAAAGCTTTATTATATCAAAAAGAAAAGGAAAGAAAAGGAAAGAAAAGGAAAGAAAAGAAAAACCACCAAAGCTTCATTGCAAATAGATAGTTTGCATCCACTTATAGACAGTACAAAGCACAAAGGCGATGGACCTTTCGCTAAGGGAATAGAGAATAGACGAGGTGCTGTGTGCCAGCAGGAGATCACACTCACAGAGATTCAGAGACCGCCACATGGGCTTCTTTCACCAGCACACAGCGCTTGTGTCTTTGGAGAATTAATTGCTAGTATTTTTCAAGCAGAGCTTACGCATAACAAAGCAACGAAGAAAATGTGCTGCATCTTGAAAAACTTCAAAAGATTCCAATTGAATAAAGAAGAATGGAAAACGTTAACTTACAAGACACAATACTCGCACAGAGAAGTACACTAACTTACCCAAAAGTCAAAAGTCGTCAATATGTATACGATGTTACTTTGCACGCCCTATTTACACATTTATATGTACACTCACGGGCACTGTCTTTCCACCCGTCGTGGCGCTGCAGCTTCATAAGGAGCAAATCCATATCGCAAGGCAGGTTGCTTAACGCAGAATGCAGTCGGGTCGTGGCCAGACACCAAAGGACAACTCAGAGCAGGAGCACGACCCCACGCATCACATTTGACATTTGAACCCCTCCTACAGTAGCTAACAAGCTACCCGTGGATGGCCTGCCACTCCCTTCCACTTTGACAAAAAACGTGGGCAGGTCAGGTGGGATGTCGGCGTCCGTGGAGGGGGAGGGTAGCCCTTCAACGCACGTACCCAAGATCGAAGCTTTTACATCAGACATGTCCTTATGTCTGTCCTCTCACCATCACCACTGCCAATGCCAATTACCGAAAGCCTCGCCCTCCCCCTCGCCCTCGCCCAGGCTCTTTATCCGCAATGGTTCCCAAATGAAGAAGGCGCTCCCACGTTTTCCGAAAGGGGTAACTATGGTCACAAGACAACAGTTTGAAAAATGCACTTCAGGCATTCCCCCGAACATAACACACCCCCACGTGACCCTACCGGACCCGAAACCTTAGCTTGTATACATTCGACATTTTCAAGCCCTTTCGCATGAAATGCATTTTCAAACTTAAGCCCCGACTGCGCCGTAGTTTTCTCTTTTTCGAGTCATGCATGTACAAGATTTACCTACCGTCCTCGGGCGCTTCTCCCAAGAGGTAGTGAAAGAGAAAAAAAAAAAAAAACAAGAAACAAGACACTTGTCCTTCGGCGATCCTCCCTAGCAAAGAAACGAAAGGAACACCCCTCCGCCGCTGTGAGCGATTCTGAAATCGTGGCGACTAACAACAACGAGCCTAGCTCAGTTGGTACACCAATCATCTGAACCTGGGCGAGTAACCGACCCAAGTTAAGATCCTGATGGACCTAGATAATGCGATGAAATGGTACCTGGGGTCGGTCAACTCGATATGATGAAATCGTGACGACCCCTACCGAGTAGCATACTGCACAGCTCTCTGCAGTATCGTACGTACCTGTGTTCAGAAACCTCAGATGTCATTCTGAGCTCAATGTAGGTCACTTATCATCCTGAAACTCCCCACTAGGATACTCGTGCCATCAACCTGAGATTCCTGTACACTCTGCTCAGTTTGATCGATTGCTGGGGGGAAATGCAAGCAATATCATCTTTGCCGCCAGACTTCCGTCTTGTCGCGTGCCGAGCATAACGAATTCCAAAACTAACAGAACGCTTACCATCATCGTAATCATCATCGTCACCATCGCCGTGACATAAACCTGCCTTTGCAAACAGCGAGGCAGAACAAGCAACCCCTCTCTCTTGTGCAACAGGTCAATTCAATCTCTCCGAGTTTCACCCGAGCGCGATCCCAATATCGATCATCATCGGTGGACCATCGCCTGTCAGCGCCGACTGAGAGAAGATTCATCAGAATTCTCCACAATCTTCGTCATCAATCGCTCGTCTCCACAAACTGCAAAATCTTGATCTCAGATTAGATCTTCCCTCATCTGGCATGACCTCTCTCTCTCTCTCTCTCTCTCTCTCTCTCTCTCTCTCTCTCTCTCTCTCTCTCTCTCTCTCTCTCTCTCTCTCTCTCTCTCTGTCTCTGTGTGTGTGTGTGTAAGGCCCCCCTTCCCGCGATTCCCCATGCATTTGATCGTGCTCGTCTTGCGCGATCTTTACAAGAAATCGATCAGTTGATCCGTTATCAATTATCGTCCGCCGCAGCTCTCTGAAGTCAACGAAGGCGAACGGCCCATCTGTATGAAGGCCCAATCTGCATCCTCAAGACGCCCAGCAATCTTGTACGCATCGATGATAGCATTATAAGTGACCGCATTGGGTTCGCACCCCGCGGCTCGCATGCCTCGGAAAGTCCTGACCGCACCATCCAGCATCTTCGCAGTTCCGTACACAGCAATGACGGTGCTGTACGTCACCACATCAGGGCGCACCCCGGCCTTCTTCATCTCGAGGAACAGGTTGAGAGCCTCCTCCACCTCTCCTGCCCTCCCTAGCGCCCTGATGGCCAAGTTATAGGCCACGACATTCATCCCGAACTTTCCAAACCTGCGTCGCATCTCCCTCACGCCAGCAAGAGCCTCTTTGTGAAGCTCTGCGCGGCCGCAGGCGTCCACAATCGTACAGAAAGACACCAGGTCAGGCTGCAGATCGAGTTCCCGCAATTTCCGCCACCACCTCCTCACATCCACCACACTTCCCGCCTTTCCGTACATGTTCATCATCGTATTACACGTCACTACATCGATACCAATGCCCCCCGATCGCGCGCCGCCCGATCCGCCGCCGTCGTCGATACCGATGCCCAGGGATCCCGCGCCGTTCGAATCGCGGTCGATACCGATGCCCCGGGATCCCGCGCCGCCCGATTGGCCGTCGCTGCTGATGCCCGCCGATCCCGCGCCGTCGGATCCGTCCTCGACAGCATCCCCACCGCTCGTTCTGTCTTCCCTTGGCGGCGTCATCATGCTCCGTACCAGTTCCTCTGCCTCTTCCACGCGCCCAGACTTTCCGTATAGGTCGAGAAGACAATTGCAAGATACACGATCATCGGCAAAACCCTGCTCCAGCATTTGCTCTCGAACGTCCTCTGCCTCCTTAAAAAGCCCCGCTCTTTTGTACATGCAAACCATCGTCGTGAAAGTGGCCAGCGAGGGAGGAAGGCCTGCGGTCTGCATTTCGTCGAACAAGAGGCGGGCCTCGCTCACCTGACCCGCCCTCTCGTACGCTTTCATTAATGCATTGCACGCCGGAACGTCAATCCTGACCGTCTCCAGTTGTTTCTCCGAACCTTCCCCTAACTCTTCACCTTGACCATCTACCACGTGGACACCTTGCATGCGACTAAGTAACGCCTCCGCCTCCTCCACACGCAGAGCTTCGGCGCAGGCATCCATAGCCGCCGTGTACGCCGCCACTCCCGGGGCACACCCCTCTGACTTCATCACCTCGATCACCCTTACGGCAGCCTCCCACCTCCCAGCTCTCCCATGCGCCTCGATAAGCCTCACCCACGCCAGGTCGCCAACCAGACGGTTCAGATCGGCCCTCGCAATCAGCCGGCGGAAGATCGAGACCGCTTCGTCCGCCTTCCCCGCTTTCTCGCACATGTCGACAGCCATGCAGCACGCCTCCTCCACCGTGACCATCCCCCGATCAACCATCTCCTCCACCACTCCCACTCCCTCCTCCACCCATCCTGCCCTTCCGCACACATCCGTCATGATGTGACACGCTACTCGATTCGGCTCCTCCTCCCCTTCCCCTCTCATTTCTTTCCATACCGCCATCGCTTCATCGAACATTCCTGCTCTCGCATACACACTCATCAGGACATGGTACGTGCTGTAGGCTCGATCGACGACAGGGGATTCCTTGCTCGATCGCCTCCTTCCCCCTCCTCCCATCAACCTCATTTCTCTAAAGACGCGCCCCGCATCCTCGTACCGCCCGGCCCGTCCGTACAGGCCAATCATCGCATTATGCACTCTCGTATCGGGAGTAAAGCCCGCTGCCAGCATCCTCGTCAACAGGCCCTCCGCCTTCTCAACTCGCCCCTCTCTCGCATACATGTGAATCATCGTGTTGTACGTCAGCTCATCGGGATTGCTCGCCGGGTCCTGCTCCATCATCAAGTAAACCTTCTCCGCGAATCGGATGCGGCCGCATTTTCCGTACAAGGAGATCATCGTGTTGTACGAAACCTGGTCAGGAGAACAGCCAGGATCGTCCAGCAACCGAGTGAAAACTCGTTCCGCAGCCGGCAGATTCCTATCATCCCCATACACTTTCATCATCGTGTTATACGTCTCGCGATCTGGCTTGGCAGTGATTCTGCCGTCCTCCTCGTCTGTGCTCATCATCATTCTGTACAGCCTTTCCGCTTCCTTGAAGTTCCCCGCACGCGCGTACACGTCAATCATCACGTTACACGTTCGCGCAGAGGGAGAGGAAGAGCAAGAAGAACAAGAAGAGCGTCTCACAATGCCTTCGTTTTCACGTGAGCTGGCGCGCGATCCAGATCTTTCCGGTCCCGCGAAACCCATCGCTCGTTCCTCTTCCTCCTTTCCGCGTGGGATTCCCCTTCCTTCTCCTCTGTCGCCCCTCGATCCGAAAAAGTCGAAGAATAGGGCCTCTGCACCCTCTACGTTGCCCTCCTTGCCATGCAATCTCATCATCGTCCGTACAGTCACCTCATCTGGATGACAACCTCCCTCCTCCATTCTCTTGTACCAGGTAGCTGCCTCACCATGGCGGTGCTGCTGACAGCAAGCGTCGATGATGGTCGCGAATGTCCGGTTATCCGGCTTCTTGTTTTCCTGCTGCATCTGCCCCACCACCTCCTCTACTCTTTTCCACATCCCCTCCCTCGAGTAAGCCTTGATGAGAATATTGTACACGCACACGTCCGCATCCCAGCCCTCACTGTCCTTCATCCAGCGATAAACCTCGTCGACGCGTTTGCACTGGCGTTGTTCGCTCATCACCGTGGACGCTTCTCTCATGCTTAGCCGTCCGCTCCAAGTACTCAGAACGGCGTCAGCAGGTTTGACATCGGGTAACTCATCCAGCGCTTGCAACAGCTCCCGAACCGCACCGCTCCTCTCTTTCTTGCGGACGCGCCTTGGCACTCCCCTGGCCGTACTTTTGCCTTCCCAATACGAGGATTGCAATTCCCTCCTCCCTCTCTCATTTCCTTCTTTGCTAACATCCCGCTCATGAAGATAGCCCAACTTCAACCCACCGGCCCGACGAGCATCAACCTGTTCAGAAGCCTCCAAGGACAATCTCTCTTCCCCTCGTTCTTTCCATCTCATATCGGCCTCTTCGACGTCCGATCCCGAAACTGAGCGCAATCCCGATCGTTCGATAGCTCCGCCGCCGCCGCCGGTGAACTGAGGTCGATCTGCCGAGGGTAGCTCCAGACGGTCGTCCTTGATGATCGCATACGAATGCAACGGGTATGGCTGTGACAGATTCGCATCCAACGCATCCCGGTTCGACTTTCGAGTCCTCCTTCGACTTGACACGTGGCGACATCCTCGCCACCCTCGCTCCGGAGTCGACGAAGCTGCGACCGCTAAGGATGCAGGCGAGTTAAACAATCGAAAGACGATGACCGATGGCATCCGCCAGCCCGAAGTTGACTTCGTGACTCGAGTCGGTGATCCTTTCAGACGCTCAGCAGCCGGACGAGCGGAACGCGGCAAGGAAACCCCAACCGACCACCCCCACAACGGCCTCCCAGAGCCGTCTTCATCGCTGTCGTCGCAATGCTGAGCTGTCATCCTTACCATTGACAGGTGACTTGGTAAGGGAGGAGGAATCAGGGCTTTCTTTTCTTTCCTCCTCCCGATTGCAAATCGTCGTGTGCATTGACGTTGCCCTGACAAATCCATGGTCAGATTCCCATTCCCTGAATTCCATCCTGAGGTCTTTCGTCTCAATAACCACGACCTCCGCACCCTTTCTCCTAAAGCTCCTGCTTTACAAAACGGCTGACGACCGCAAAGACCACTCTGGAAAGGAAGACGGCAACAAGATGCACGCGATCCGCCTCCACGACGATGCGCACTCCTGGACAAAATTAGCTCCACCGTTGCCGCTGTTGCCTCTGCCATCGCCGCGCCGACGTGGACGACGACACGGCAATATCAATGAACGTTCAGCGTGAACGGAGACAGGGGGAAGGCAGCACAATTGTTCGGACCGACGGAGTACCGCTACCGGTAGGTCGGCGCGCGCCGATCCCGGGCGAGTTCCTACCGCCAGCGTGAAGCACCCGGTGCAGATTCCACCCCGAAGGTTGTGGGTTCGATCATCGCACTCTTACGTCGGCGCAACCCAGTAGGTTTTCGTTGTTCCCCTGACGATCGTGCCACTGGGGACTGGGGTTGGGAGCCTCTGGGGTAAACGGCGGGGATTGCTGTATCACTGATTGGAGGATCAGTTCTTTTAGGCTTGGATCCCACAACGCATTTCGAACAAAACGGAAAAAGGGCCTCGGTGCACTACTCTAGACTCTAGAAATATTTCGAAAGTTCCAATACAGTCTTCCACCGAACATAACGCATGTGCGTTGTATTCAACCTTTTTCAAAAAAAGCGGTTTTCGGAAAGTTAGACCCTTTTCTTTGAATACAAGGGCACTTCAAATATAACGTATATGCGTTCTATTCGAACAACACTTACATGCGTTATATTTGAATTTCACGAAGAGAAACTTGTTGTATTCGAATATAATCGTTTTTTTTTGTTTCCCCCGAATTCAGGCCTGTGCATATGAGACTCCAACTTCCGGACCTGCGCTATTTTCCCTGCCCCCCCTTCCCCCCCCCCCCCCCCCCCCCCCCCCCCCCCCCCCCCCCCCCGGCCCTTTTTTCTCTGTCTTTTGTTGAATTTTGGGTGACCATTCGACGAGGCCTCGTTTTGTATTTTCATGGATGTAAATTTGTCTTTTTGCAGATTGGGAATTACCTGGGAATTATGCGTGCCTTAGGGCCTCGCCGCACCACAATCGAAAGGCGAAAAAATTCGACAGCTGTCAGAACAAATTCGACAGCCTCCATTCGACAGTTTGCCCCTCTTTAGCCACATAGCACTGTAGAGTGCACTTACTTGTGAATGCAAGATGGAAAAAGACGAACGCTCCAGAGGGTACGACAAGCATTAGTCCATCCCGACCTTACCCCCCCTCACCTAATTTCGAAGAGAAGTCGGCGGCGCAGCCGAGGAGTGTCGAAAGCATGGGAGTAGCAGGCTGGGGATTCAACAACTTTCGACAGGAGCTGTCGAGAAGCATGCTCTTACAACTGGAGAATTTTTTTCCCGTCTCCGACTTCGACAGCCTATGTGGCGAAGAGAAACTGTCGAAAATGGTGCGGCGAAGCCCTTAGCGAGCGCGCTAGGAATTCCGGCCGACGGTTAGGAATTTCGGAATAAGCGGGATCCGACGTGTTATTTCTTATGCATGAATATTCGTAACTTCGTCTTGGAAACCTCTATGAATTTTCGCAGAAATCTGAATAGGCATAGGACTTTCTCACGGGCCCGTTTTGCCGTGCGGATATGGTATTTTTCAATTTGAATTAGTCGTAATTGTTTCAGTGTCTTTTTGCCTTCGCGACAGCGCCATGCATGCGAGCCTCCTCTCCCCGCTTCCCCCGCTGTCCTCGACACTCCCTTCTTCGCGCTCATGCTCCTCCTCTCTCTGTAACCGTTTTCCATCTCCCCTTTGCCTTGCGCGCCTTTTCTCTCCTTCTTAATCGTCTGAATCTTGGTTTTGTTTCGCGCTATTCTTCACACTCTTCTTCTTCCCGCTTTAAACTCCCGCACTGAAACACCAGGTCGACCCCCTATCACTCCCTCTAGCCAAAGAGACAAGCCGTGTAAGAGGGAAATTCCTGATACACGACGATTTTGATTGGTTGCAACTGGGATCCAAAGGATCGACATGGCTTTCGACGGGCAATCCCTGAGTCTTCTCCTACTTCTCCTTGTTTTAGTCCTAACCCTTCCTAGCAACTATCCTTCTTTCCGCAGCTATAAATTTCGCAAGCGCTCCCGAAAATCTTTTTTTCAACTCATCAGCCCGCTTCCGGAAAGTCGTGGCTAGATGGTATGAAGGAAAGTGCGAGTCGAAAAGTCCCGACAAGCTGGTTGTAGTCTTGGCGCGCGGCATGCTGGATCGCCCGATGGACTTTGGGATCCGAGTAGGGCCGTGCAGAGGCTAACTCGGCGGGGTGACGATCGCTATGGTGGATTGGCACGTGACGGTCGAGATCGTCAGTGCAAGTGAGACGTTCGAGTCGGAAGTGAGTGAGKGCATGGYCCGGGGCCATGGTGGAATTTTATGGCCGAAGTGCTTTCTTTCCTTTCTGCTTCAAATTTTGTATCTCTGAATGTGAGTTTTGATCGCTTGGCTTATAAGTCGGGACATCTCTGGGCAAGATCACCTTGCACTCTGTGATTGCTTTCTACGCATTTCTCTCTTTTAGTCTGTGTCCCTACTCTCCCTTTTCCAGTCGCGATGTCGAGCGCATCGGTCCGGCACCGCACAAGGCAGCGCGGGAGCCTCCCGGCCACATCACGCAGGAGTTGGTTTAAATCCTAGTCGCGAATATACATGGAGCTTCCGCAAGCCACTCCGGTCAAGTGCGCCAGCCATACCTCCCGCGAGCCCCTACGACGGGATAGGGCCTACGTGAGGCACGACTTACCTCCACCTTATGGGAGTTGTCACCTCCCTTCGGTGGACGTATCCTCGCTGAACTACCAGTCCACAGTACGAAAGCTAATTAGTTGCAATCGCAGATGTGGACCAGCCGAGGGCATTTTTTGTTCACCATAGCATAGGGGGCACGCGCGGTAATACGCCTCTATCGAAACCGCACGCGAACCGACTTCTTGGGGGGCTGAGGTCCCAAGCGCGGCTCAATGTCGGTCGACTAGGACGTACCCCACTCACCACGCATACACCACACTACGAACACAAAAATAAAACACACACACAGACACATCAAATAACGCGACAACACTCCGAGTCCCTTGGTAGTCGCGTCCGATCACTTTCTGATGCGGAAATCGGACAGGCGTCGCGCGCGAGTCTTAGTATAAAACCGTGCGGACGCAAGACCTACTCATATCGACTCGCAATGCACGCGTGCGCAAACAGTCGCAATGATGGCGTACTATGTAGTGCCCATAATCAAGCGGTCCCTCGTGGATCCGAGTACCGCTTATGACACTCAAGTGTTAGACTCGAAGTATCGTGATGGTATAATCCCTCACGATATTGCACGGCTGAAGGAATAGCCGTGCGGCCGCCACGAGACCTCCGGCCTTTGGCCTGAGTGTCTCGGCAGGCAGGGCAAATAGGCTCTACGCGGGGGAAGATTCCTTCCATGCAGAGTCTAGGGCTTGGGATGTCATGGACAAGGACCTCGAGTCCCGGCACAGGATCAACGCCCGACTAAGAAAACTCTTAAAAAATATACAACAAATAAGGAGGTTTTCCTTCTTCTATCAACGCATAATATGTTTAACCCCTGTGCACGACCACAATAAACCGCGCGAACATTCAAGCCATATATATATATATATGTATATATATAAGGGTCATTAATATATGACGATCACTTTTCACAGTCACAGTGAGACTCCTCTCAGCCATATATATGTGATCACAGACAACCATATCCAAAGTCTGAACCATAAACATACCTGCAATCACATCAAAGATCCAACAAAAGTCCACGCACTGCACGGGGTCAACTTCAACCATTCTCTGCACTCACACCCCTCGTTTTAACCATAGAAACCTCAACCTTAGCGTACCCTTCCAACAATAAAATACTCAGTACCTTTGTTAAATGGTCATTCAATAAAATCCGGGTAAAAACACAATGAAACATTTCAAACCACATGGCTAAAACCTTTAGGTTGAGTGACAAGAGTGGATTGGAGTTGATTCGTAAGCCGACGAATCGACAACCGACATGTTATCAGTGATAACAGAAGATGATCCTTTTAGGATCAAGCTGAATCTAATCCTGGTCTTGAATCGGAACGATCAAGAGGACCTGTAACACAAGACAGGCCAACCCCCAGGCGAGATCTATAAGTCAATGGATAATAATCTTCACTCCACGATCTCACCAAAATCGTTTTACTTAACTAAGCATGAATCTACCTCTAAGCCAGTACCCACAACAAAGGTAGACCAATGGCAGAATCTCCCCTATTCAGGGTGGATCGCCGGAGTCGCCACCTGTCAAAATATAGTCTATCTCCTTTAAACTAAGAAAATTTCGGCAGCGCTTCCCGCAGGAAAAGTACCTTTCCAGAATTTATATCAGCCCAAATATCAAAACAAGAATAGTTTTCAACTTTTCAAAGTCAATTTTTGTATAACTCCCTGAATTAGCAAAAATTTGGGCAGCACTCCCTTTAGAAAATGAAACTTCCCAGATTTTTACTAAGCCATATAAAATTTAGACAAGTTAAACTTTGAAAAGTCAAAAAGTTGACTAACTCCTTGGATTTGCAGAAATTTCGGCAGCACTTCCCGTAGAGAAAGTAGTTTACCAAAATTTATACAAAGTCAAGTATAACAAAAGATCCCATAAAATGCGAGAATTTGTCTAAGTTAAATAAAGTTAGCTCAGAAAATGCAGAAATTGAACTAACTCCTATCGCTCTAGCACGTGACGAGTCTCTAAAGTAACTACCTGTCAACTGAAACTCGGACTAAGTAGCGATCTCACTCAGCCACATGCAAGGCCAAACCACAAAAGTAAGTACTCTCGCCAGCCCAAGTCAACCTTATCAAACAATAATTTGTAGTCTTTCATGAGTTGTCCATTCATACCCAGCTTACATAAGGCATAAGGCCAGGTCACCCAAACTTATGAGACATGCCTAACTTAGCCATCGAGTATACACAAAACAGAGGGCACAACTACTTCTCTCTTCTTTGGGC